ACTTTCAGGTTGATTGAAAATCATAAAAATGTTCAAAATCCTAGAAACTGATACTTTTTGGACTGATCAAGATATTGTTCTTGACAGCTAAACATGACCGTATCTCAAATACTTTGAAACATTCCGAAACCTACAAAGCTGTAAAATTTGTTGGTATATCTAACGTTTTTAATGGGCTATCAATTTTCCATGAGGAAAGTACAGGTCTGGAGTGTACTGTTCAGAGTTAGGTGTGGCTACTGTCAGAATGCCCTCTAGGTTGTGGAAGAAGTTTCCTGTCACTTATATTTGTATTTTGCCAAAAAGTTCGGAGAACTTCGTCTTTTCTATCTTAAATTTATCCATTAGCCCAATTATACCGTTTTTTAGCATTTTGATATGATTACTAAGAAAATCCAATGACTCCGAGCACGTTTGACTCTTATCGCCCTACAACTTTAAGGGACACGACACACTTGGAAAAAACTTAGCAAAAGTTTGTTTTTGAAAGTTTAAGTATGGCGAAAAACAAGCGCGCAAGCGGGTCACACAGCTACGGCAAGGCACGGGATATGTTGTCAATGATGGTCACATATTTAATAATGGTGATATTCTGATAGAATTTTTCTTCTAATTTTGTGATGAATGGCTTGTTTGACCACCTTATCAATTGAGTGAAATCAATTCTTCAGCGCAAGCAGCTCATACTTTTCGAGAACGCTGACAGTTGTTTTGAGCAGTTGCTGTACGGAAATTATCTGTGCCGAAAGAGTAAGTAAATGTTTACTGGCTGGTGGATCAGGTAGCCTGCAGCAAAAGTGAGCTAATCTCCTGGAAATTTTTGATCAACCGTGTTTCAAGCTAACTTTCAAGAGCATAGCTAGAAGTAACGAATTTGTCGCGGAAATATGAAGCACAATTGCGCACAACTTTATCACGAATATCTAACTAGCAAAAGCGACACTGCAGTGAAAAAATGCAACGCACCAACATCTTGTTCACCCTCCTTCCTCATCCTCGTTGCCGTTGATGCAAAAAATCTACAACCGCCGTAGTTTTTCGGATCGTTTTGAGCTCGTAACGTCACTATTAGTTCATCTCCTAAATGCATTTAGTATTAAATTGTGCTTATTTATATGATTTGAAATCAAGCTGCTTGAAATATAATATAGATATGAAGCAATTCCTTGAGACTGCAGTTTCTCAAAGGATGACATCAAGCAAAAGTTTTTTGCTCTTGCCTACCTTCTTCCAGATACTGGTCAAGTTGGACGGGGTTCAATGAAAACGCTTCACAGGGTATGTAAACTTGGCCAAAAGTGTCGCTACTAGCAAGTGCAAACTTTTGAAGAACCTCGGTGACCACTACTTTCTGCAATCAGTGGTGCGTTTAGACACATTTAACTAAAGCAGATTTCTGAAACTCACCTCATCATTAGCAGTATTGGATTCCGTGTTAGAACGAGGCAAATTTTGGTTTGAAGTGGCAATTGGAGAACGGCCGTCTCCCATTTTTCTTCCAGAGTGTCGAATCTTGGAAAAAATTCTATATTTAATGCTTTACCACAGCGCTAAAATTGTAAGCCGGAGGTATTGGTGAGAAACAGGATTTAGATCAAATCCATACATTTACTGCCATCCAGT